GGTCATTACTCACTGCGACACCCTCCGCTGATCTACATCATATTACCAAGCGTTTAATGTTGTTCCCTGCTGACCGTATGGCCTCACAAAACCACCACCGAGAGGACTGCCAGGCTGCACTAAATACATCAAGACTGTTAAAGTGCTTCCCTCAGCAAATCTGTCTCAAAGCTGTGCTTCCTCTGGAAAACTTTTAATTTTTGTTTTGTAACTTTCTTCTGACATTCTGGTTGACTGGTTATTGATCATCTTCTCTGAAGTTCGCTGAGAATATGCACACATCATGCAATCACAGTCTGTTTATATTTTACCTCCTGAGGTTTGAAGTGCTCAGAACTCTGTGACAAACAATACTGGGCTACAGTGTATCATACTTTTTTCTGTTGTCCTCAATTTCTATTTACATTTCATACTGAAAATTGGAAAGAATGTGAACACAGAGAAGAGAAAGCAACTGAGATGAGACGTATGAGCCTTTAAATGGGTTTCATTTCTCCCTCTTAGCTACACCTCAGTTTATGTAAGAACCACTTTAGCTCTACCAGTGGGCAAATATTTGTCATTAAACTATCACGCTTTATTTGGACATCAGGCAGGAAACAAACACCTGATATAAATGGTGACTTCTTAAATTCTTAGAACGCAAAGGAAAATGTATATACTTACAAACTTGGGTATGTTTATGATGGAGTGTGTCTTCATGAAAATGTTAAAGTGGAAGTGGCTGTGAAGGGCTGGATTTATTAAAGGATATAACTACTACAGCGTACCATTCATTATGCCTTTATTTTCTACTAAGACTAACTTTTATTTTTAGCACTTAGCCCTTGAGTCTTCCTTAAAGGGAGACATGATTAAGACAGTAGCATAAACACCAACATTAAAGGAACATTTTGGGGAGAATACTTATTTGCTGTCTTGATAGTTGGATAAAGAGATGTATAAACCTACAGCCAGGTGACAGTTGGCTTAGCATGTGGACTGGAAGTGGGGAAAACAACTAGCCTGGGTACCATCACCTCTAAAGCTTGTTACTTATATGTTATAGCTCTTTAATTCACGCCAACATCAAAGTGTGAAATTTAAAAGTCACAGTTTTACAAGGAAGTTCTGTGCTTAACTGTTTCTTCGCCAGGCACAGTTACCCTGAGGTTGCCAGCCAGTCAATGGCATGGTACTGCATCAGTCTTCCCATCTCACTGTCAAGCTATTCCTTTAATAATTCAACCAACAACATACAACTGTGTGCCAAATCAAACTGAATGGTCAAAGTCCTTTTCAAGAAAGCTCAAAGTCAAACTGCTGCGTAACCAATTTATATGTGTATCTGAAAAAGTTGATTTCCAAAGCCAAAATATGAAGTGCTGTTATCTGAGCAGCTCTGATGCAAACAGGGTTATTTATGATTAACAATGTAGATGACATATGTTATTTTGTGTTAAGAGTTTGTGCACATTTTTAAATGATCACAATAACCCAGACTGATTATTGCAATTTTGATCTGCAATAAATTCTTATTTTCTCCTTACCAGTGAGGGCTATTATCTTCAAGATACAGCATGAATCAGAGTATGTAATCTACCAGAGACAAGAAAGTACTGTCTCTAAAATCAAGATATATTGATCGTCAGGGAGATCATTAGGAAATCTTAAAAAATGTTAACATAAAAAGAAAAATGATATATATATTTTTTAATTATTAAATCTATTTTCCAAAGTCTTCAGAGAGTAAAGGTCACCCAGGAAAGGCCAGTATATTATTAACATTTTACATCCCCAGCTACCATGCAGTTACTCACCATTCTGTAAAAACAAACTAGTCATTTGAGCTGACCCTGAGTGCTGGCACTTCTGTGTATAAAGGTCATTCTCAATTTGTATTTTGACACTTTACATGCATCATGCTGAGTTCCCTCTTTTTTAAATTTTTTTATGAGTTCAGCAAGTGAAATCAGCAGATATCTTAGCCTAAACTGCTCATTTTCCTCCCTATCTTCCCATCTCTGTATTTCCCCTGTATCTGTCCCTCAGGCACATGTGGCAGATGCCATACAGCCGAGCTCGCTCACAGAGGTAGCAGTGCTGTCAGCTCAGATCCGTCTTTGTTTAGGAGGGCGTTTGTTCATTAAGTCCAACATGTTTCATCAGGAGGGCGGCTTCCACAACACACTCATGTGCGGTATCATAAATCCACATTAGAGAAGACAAGGCATCTCATGTGGAGGGAGGTTGCTGTGGTGGCGGCTGAGGCAGCGAAAACAAATATCCAGGCCATCACTGCCCAACACACAAATAAAGTCATGACCTAATCAAATATAAGATCAGGAGCAACGGGGGCAAACCAAGGAGATTTAAGGGGATGTGTGTTGCTATGTTTAAAATCTTTGTCATAATGTCAGTCTACAAAGCATGCCTCCTATAACTGCCATTTACATAGCTTGAAAGGTCAACGGCAGAGGCAACTTGCCAGGTTTAGTGGAGCAGCAGACCAGTGTGTTGGGGTGAATGTAATTATGGCACTGGCAATCTGATAACTTGCCAGCCTCTCTCTGGGGGGGGGGGAGAATTCCAACATTTAGCAGGTGTCCACTGAGTGTGATAATGACTGTCATTGCTTTCTATCAGCTTTTTCAGTTTGACAAGGTGCTTTACAGTATTCACTTCATATTTATAGTTGCCCATGTGCACAACAACCTAGCTACTATAGTTTTAACTATACTCTATTTCCTATCTATCCACAAAGGTTATTGGTCATGGAATGACAGCAATAGATGACGTTTTTATTTCTTGAGACAGTGACCTTTTGTCTGGAAGGAAATACTGCAACTGACATCTGGTGTAATAAAAAGTGAACCCCACGTATCTGAACGTAAAGGTAGTGTAATCATGAAATAGTTGGGTCTCAGCACACCAGATCAACCAACAGAGTGGAGGAGACATTTCATTGTAGGCTATCTGAATCCCATAGCTCCCAGTATCTGGAACAAAGCCTCTGTTTAGTAACAGAACAAACATCAGTCCTGCTCCAGCATGGAACGCTAAGGGCCAAGGCCCCAGAAGACAGCTCAGAGTCCGGGGACCTGCCTGAGTCACACTGCAGCCTGTCTTGACCTCAGTTGACACTATACGTCAATAACCTGCTATTTAGATGTTGAAGCTGTTTGGAGACAAGTGTTAACAAGCACAACGGGGCCACTGAGTGCGCCAGAGAAGGTGTCATCATACTTAGAAAACAGAAAGCTCTCCCCGCGCTCATCTGTTTTATTCTTCTTCCTCTTAAACCATTCACTCTCACTTGCTTTTTTCTCTGCTGTAATTACACCTGCTCTGTCAAGCATAGCTCGAGGCGTGGCTGGGCAAAATCACTTGTTAATATGAATCTGCAGTGTGTGTGAGGAAAAGGAGGAGGACTACTCACTGATGGTCTCTGTGGAAACATTAGGTTGTACAGCCTGCGCCTGTATGCTCCTCCTGGGACAAAGAGGTAAGGAAGCCTCACTTTGGGGAATTGTGTGTGAGTCTGTGTGAGGTGAGACCATCCATTTTCAAAATGAACCTGCAACATATACAAATCTATAGTGGGGAAAATGCTTGTAAATACAACAGCCTGGGGTTAGTTAACCGGCTGAAAATAACCTGAAAAAACAAAAATCACAATTGTGCATCACATAATCATTAGTATAGCAACACTTAAAGCCAAAGAGAACCCTATTAAATGTGCAGCACATTTCAGACAACTGCACATTCCTTCTCATCTCCATGGCTGGCAATGTTTTTTTTAGAACAAACGCCTCCCAGACAAAGAGATTTTCAAGTGAAACTGAAAGGTGTGACGACACATCTTCAGCCCAGACACAGCTGAGCAGCTGCTGTGTTTATCAGGAGACTTTCAGTGCATTAACACCACCCCGAGCACCACACCACACAGATAGTGTTACACTTCCCTTCCCCTTTCTGATGTCAAATGAGTGAAATCAGATACATCCACAAACAATCCCAATTATGGCAACTGCTGATGGCAAAAATGAAGCGTCACACACAAATATGACGACATACCATACATGAAGACAGACAAACCTGCTGCTAGATACAGACCTAGCAAACTGTGAGGTAAATCTGTTTATGAGCCACACTGTCGTGCTACAAATTACATGTAGCTGCAGGCTATGTGAGGCCAGTTGTTAGAGGTGTTGTGGAGGGAGGACATTTCTCCATGATGTTCTTCAGAAGGTCAAGGATGTTCACAGTCACTCCCGTGTGCAGCCACAAAACACATCTTGATCCATTTAGACTGCTAGACAGCAACGTAAATACTCTTGAAAGGAGTGCCACTCATTAATTATTAGTCTATACCATAATGGATGGTATGGATTAATAGAGCAAGAAAAATAACACCTTACAGTTGGGTATCAACACTAAAAGAAAACACTTTTTTCTAATATGCTAGTTTCCCTAAAACATGGTTACATGGAATGCAAGCCCGCCTGAGCTCATTTCTGTCTGCCCCATTAAAATCTTGGGTTCAGTTTGTCTTCATTTGCATGTGCCCTGAAATGTCATATGCCATATTTTCTGATTTTTACAGCTGGAGTATATCACAATATGCTGGAGTCTACTGATAGGGGCCTGTGAATGTGAATCTTGCCCACTGGGAGCAGTTCACACACATTTTGGGGGATTTGCTGCAGAGTCAAGGATTTTATCAGATTCTCAAATAGTGATAGCAGTTGGCTACCCTCACAAATAGACCTAGAGATAGAAGCTCATTTAAATTCATACAGCATGTCTCTAGTCAACGTCAGTTTGACTTTATATCCTACTGTAGCAACTCACTAAAATAGAACTGAAACTGTTGCAGGGGGAGATAATATACTGTAAATGTCTGCAATATGAAGAAAGTGCACGTTTCATACATTGTTGTAAGATTTAGTACTTGTCAAATGGGTCTTGCAAGCTGCGACACATCAGGAATGAGTGTATGTGTGTGGCCCTGAACTCCTCCCTCAAAACCTTTGGATCACATTATTCAGCAAGATTAAAGGCCCTTAGTCGAGACAGATACCATCAATCCAGAGGCATTTATTTAGCTGAATGTCATCACAGAAAAAAGAGCAATCACATCCACTTACAGATCTAAAAACTGCAATGTGCACTATAATCATTCAAAAAATGCATACTGTATATCACAAATTCACAGATTAAAAACAATGAACTCATAAACAAGCAGTACAGCATTTCTCTACAGCAGAGGCATAAAGAGAAAAATGCAATGACCAATATGAGGTTTTGCCAGGTATTCACTCATTTAAAAGTCAATGCACTCCATCCATTTATCCTTCAGGAAAAGGAAAAGTAGACCATATTGCTCTTTGCAACTGTCCAAAAGAATCCTTTACCATGATTCATTGCCCATGCAGCATTACACTGAATAAACATAGCTGACATCACAGCTGCCAGGTACTTGTACAGGACATGGCATTGGCTGAGTGGAGGAGGTGAGAGGGATTAATTAGAAGCCGCGACAAATGTAAAATCTCAATAGAATCGTGGGCAAAAGGGGGTAAGGAGAGGAAGACTTTCATGCAAATCTTAATTCATTTAATATGTCACAGAAGGGTCCCAGACAGTGTTCCATCCTGGCTTATGCATCCGAATTGATGCTCAGGTTTGCCAAACGTGGGTCTGAGTTTACCTCATACCTGTAATAGTACCCCTCCATGTGGTCCCTACAAGCATCCCGGATGTTGTACATCCATCGCTTAATGCCTTTTCTGTTCAGGTAGAGCACCAGCAGAAATATGACACCGATCAGTGCCAGCACCAACCCCAGGAAAACATATGAAGTCTCCAGCACGCCCTTCATGTCACCCACACACTTAAGCTGTGAGAGCTGTACGTGCAGGAGCGGCTTTTGTCTCAGGGTCTCAGGGTCTGCACAGGCCAGACTTTGCTGGTCAAGCACCTGAGTGGAGTTTTTCAGCCACAACAGCATGTTGTCAATAAAGCAGTCACAGCGCCAGGGGTTCCCCGCCAGCCGGATGTGGAGACCAGGCTTCAAGCTGAACACTGCCAGTGTAGCGGGAGGCAGATCTCTCAGGCTGTTGTCCCTCAGGTCGAGGTCACGCAGTGGGGGCACCTTCAGTGTCCCGTTCTGAATAGAGATGATGGAGTTGTTCTGTAGGCTGAGATTAACTAGGTTAGAAAGGCTCATGCTGTCTGGAAGAATCACAAGGTCATTGTTGGAGAGATCCAAGACTATCAGCTGGCGGAGGTTTCCACTCCATAGGACACTTAGGACATCCATGGAGTAATGATTGTGAAAAGACCTACTGAGGTTCAAGACCTGCAGTTTATTATCATCGGGGAAAGCTCTTTCACTAAAATTCTGGATTTTGTTGTTGCTCAGGTCAAGCCGCACAAGGTTTGGCAAGTTGTCAAATACCATTGATTCCACAGACTCCATCGCATTTCCACTGAGGTGGAGTTCTGTTAACTGTCCCATATGGGTTGGGAAAGAATGCACATCAATCCGGGAAATGTTGTTTCCTGTGACAAACAAAATTTTGGTATTGACCGGTAAATGATGCGGAATCGCGTCCAGGTCCTGGTTTTGGCATTTTACAGTTTGCAAAGAGCACAAGCATTTGTCCGGACAGTCTTGGCAGGACAGTCCGACCGAGAGGAGGAAAAGTAAGTTCATCAAAGCAGACCTCTGTGCTCGCCCTCGGACGTCTTTGCGGTTACACCCACACAAAGTGCTCAACAGGCGCATCTTGGATTTTAGAAATCGCAGACTGTAAACGTGGCTTTTCAATAAACGGGCCCAGGCACCGCCTTGTTCTTCCGCGGGAAGAAAATGAAAGTTTCTCAACTGGGTCTCCCACCTTTGTCCTTTCGAAAAGGTCCCCTGTTCCAACTAGACTCCATATAACTAACATCACCCCCAAACCATCCTTGTTTAGGATAAGTCTACATTTCCGTCAGGACAAAGGTGATGCTGGCGAAGGTCACAAACTTCTAGGGTGTACTCCTCGTTTGTTTTCCCTTAAAGGTTAAGTGATATTTTTCCCGTCAAGGCAAAACAATCAAGTGCGACATATTATAAAACTAGCAAATAACTTATTCACGCAACTGGTTTCAAAACAGACAGCGCTCACCTGTGCGTCCCAAAGGCGCTATATTATACGCTATTACATAAACACTTCAGCTTATCGCTCTCTAACTCCTCGGGAGTCTAGTGGGAAAGACCAAACACAGCAGCACAGTGCAGACCACTGGAAGGAGGGAGCATACCATTACTCAGTACAATGGGGGTGAACAAAAAGCACACGTTTTGTTTAGGTGTTATTTTTCCCACTCTGATGATGATTATTATTACTACAACTTGTCATAACCCATTAATTTTAACTGACTTACCAAAGACCCAAGTGTAAAAATGTTAACTATTTTTTTCTTTCTGAAAAACAACCTGTCTTACTAGTGCGGCTGTAAAATTGAGCCCAGGGACCTCTAGGGGTCCCTGAGGGAGCTCCAAGCAGTCCGAAAAGCCATTAGCAGCTTCATTACTCTAAGATGAGGCAATAGCTAATATGCCAATTTTCCTAGTGCTGATCAAGCACCTTTCAAATAACAAATTACCATTTTTGGAATTCCTTGTCTTCCTTATTGATTACTCTTTCATTATTTGTCTGATTAATTGTATGTGTTAGCAAAAATAAACAGTAAAAATGAACATCACAGTTTCCAAAAGCCCAAGATGACACCATTAAAGGTCTGCATGGTTTTGTCCGACTAACAGTTCAAAATTCAGAGATCTTTAAGACAAGCTAAACCAAACAGTCATCCTATTTTAGAGCTTACAATCCATGCATATATTGGATTTTTACTTTAAAAGTACCTAAATGATCAATAGACCATCAAAGTACTTGCTAATTAATTTTCCCTTGCTTTTGACCTTTCGGCTAATCATTTGTCAAATAGCCTACAAATTTTTGATCAGATCAGATACAGTTGTTCCATTTATAGGAATCCTTTTTCATAAATACTGACTATTTTTATGAATGGGATTTTGAAAATGTGAGCTTGAATGTGTCCCTCAAATTTAAGTCCAGTGACCTCAGAGGTCCCTTGGAAAATATTTTTGTGGGTCTCCCGCAAAAGTAGGAATATTTCACAAACAATAACACTAATCAAATCAAATCAAATCAAAATTTATTTGTATAGCGCCAAATCACAACAAAAGTCATCTCAAGACACTTTACGGCGTAAGGTCTAGACCTTACTGTTATCACTATTAATACAGAGGGAAAACCCAACAAATTGTGATTCTTGGTTTAATAAAAGCTGATCTAAGTGTTACTGACACAAAGAACATTTTTGAAACTCCTGATCTTACAAATGTGAGAATTCTAGTTTTTCTCAAAGCATTTTGCAAAGCTGCTTTTTGGGCAGCCGTAAATAATTTTTGACAGGGTTTAACAGAGATCAGTGATGTGGTATTAGTTGAAAACAGCGGGGAAGTAAGTTTTCTTTATTTGCTGATTTCCTTTTAAGAAGTAAATGCTGGAGGAGGACTACTCACTGATTGTCTCTGTGGAAAATTTGGTTGTCCTAATGCACATTCCCTTTCTTGTTGATATATAGCCGCTGTACCAGAGTCAAATTCTTTGTGTGTCCAACACACCTGGCCAATAAAGCTGATTCTGATTCTGATTCTGTATGTGCCTCCTTACTCCCTAACTTTCCACTGAAACCTGGATTCAGGCTAAAAGTGGTACAAACCCAAAGTCTATCTGTTAAGTGTGAAACTACTGTAACTGACATGTTGGTATGAGGGAAATGGTATGAGGAAATATTATACATCCATCTTTTCTGCCCATACTGGTTGCGACATGCTCTGAAGACAGATTTTGATTATTCTATAATAAATCAAATCAAATCAAATCAAATTTTATTTGTATAGCGTCAAATCACAACAAAAGTCATCTCAGGACACTTTACAAAGTAAGGTCTAGACCTTACTGTTATCAATATTATTACATAGGGAAAACCCAACAAATCCCCCTTGAGCAAGCACTTGGCGACAGTGGGAATAAAAAAACAAATCTTTTTTGTCCTATTTGTGCAGAAGTTATTTTAAAACAACACAAATCCCCTTACTGCTTCTCTTGCTCTTGATTGCATCTAAGTAGAAATATAGGACAGAATTTAATGAGATTATAAATGTATGTTTATATATATCATTTTAATATAATCTTTTCGGTTCTAAGTTATTTAGTGATGTTAATATACCATATAATATTTTATTATTATTGTAAACCCTTAAATAAATAAATAAATAAATTTTCCTATGATATCATAGGTACAGCAACAGCACACTTTAAGCACAAATAACGCCCACTAAAATCGACCAATAGGATAGTGGTATGTTAATACTTTGACCAATCAGAAGTCTCGACACTAGCCAAGGGTTTTACCTAACCTGCTGGAGGTTCAGGCGTTCAGACTCCTGTCAAAATTTTAATCAGTGAGAAGGCAGCAGTTTCTTATTTGTTGTGATGATACAGTCGATGCACGTCGTTGATGTAACTTTCTCCGTGTCCTCTCTCTTCTTTATCTAGCGGAAGGTAAGATATGATAAATGCCCTTAATTGAACAGCTTGCTTACGCTAGCTTGTAATGATATGTCAGTTAAGCTAGCTGCCGAAGGAGAGTTAGTTAATGCTAACTAACAACACTAAGCGAACTTTCAAACCTATACTTTTATAGTTGCTTATACCCACGCTAGATGTCTTGTTGGCTTACAGATTAAAAAAAAAACATACTAAATGATAGTATGGCGTTGTGCGTAACGTTATCTTGTTTGGGTAACATTACTAATGGTTAATAACAACGTTAACCTAGCTGTTTCTTTTTCTGTACAGCTATTTAGAATGGTAGCTGTCTATTTAGAAAATATGACAGTAGGTTAAGAATGTTATAAGATATGGGTACACAGCGCTATCGAAGCCTTAGTTTTCTTACGCAGAACCCAACATGAGGTTGAATAAGCTGATGTTATTCGGCTAATTTAGCCTGTTGCATAACCGTGCTGGTAGTCAAGATTAGCTGGGAAGTCCTGTCAACTCAGCTGATAACACCTAACCGTGTCATTAGGCCAGACTTGCTCTGACATTTATACTTGGAGTTTTGGATTTCACTACTGTATTCTGCACACAAAACCGTTTTGGCAGTCATTGGTTACATGCAAGCAAAATGTCAATGTAGGCCCTCGTTTTTCATTGATAATTCTCAAATTTTCTTTCTCAGGTGCACCCTACAATCATGGAGTTTTGAAAAAGACTGAGAATTTTGGGGGGAAGTGGGGGCTTTCCCCTCAATTTTATGGTTAAACTGCAGGATGAGAAGGTCGGAGGATTGTTGAAATCATTGCCTTTTGTAAATTACTATAGGAAAACTATTTTTGCAAACACTGAAATGTACAATTTTGTATAAACCGTATAAGACACTTTGTATTTATTGAATACTAAATGCCATTGTATGCTGCACGCACTGTAGTTTGTGTTCAGTTTTTGGTTGAAATGGTGGATTGAAACAAGTTGTGCAAAGGCTGTGGAGTTGCTAGGGTGCGGTGGAACTTCAACACAAGCACAATTCTAGCACTCCAAACCAAATTGACCTTTAGTTGGTATATTGTCTTTGTAGTTTTTTTTTTCTTTGTGCAGAGCAGCTCAGTTATATTACATTTTAGTTTTGGTTTGCTAGCTCCCATTGTATTATTTCTAAGTTTTTTGTAATTGTGGGTGCTGGGCTGTCAGAAGGACTTGGGAATACAAAAGGGAGGAGAGTTACTGAAGATTCGTGAAAGGTCAGGATGAGTCTGGCACTACCAGACTGCACTCCCAAATGCCGCTCACAAGAACATGCCGACCAGGTTGTAGCAGCGCTAACGGGCGGCTCTGAGGGCCAGTTGCGGGCGTTCTTGACTTCGTACTGCCACAATGCAGCCACCCTGCGGGATGCTTTTGGTCGCACAGCCCTGCACCTGGCAGCCTCACTGGGAAAAAAGGCCCTGCTGGAGTGGCTGGTGGAGAGTAAAGGTGGTGACCTGATGGTGAAGGATAAGGAGTCTGGCTGGACCGCTCTGCATCGCAGTGCTTTCTATGGACAGATCCACTGTCTCATAACACTGGTCAAGGTACAGTGGCTTCAGAAAGTATTCAGGCCACTTCCCTTTTTGCCCACTTTGTGTTATAGAATACATTTCAAATGGATAAAATTGCCATTTTTACCCCTCAGTCTACATTCAGTAGCCCATGAGGGCAAAGTGGAAGCATTTATTTATTTAAAATCAAAGTTGAAATTTCATTTACAAAAGTATTCCGACCCATTGCTGTGGCACTCCACGTTGTGGTCAGGTGCTTTAAGGATAATTTGACTAGAACTTGACCGGAGTCCACCTGGGGCAAGTTGAATTCACTAATTCTTTAATGATTCTTAATGAGTGTATATTTTTGGGCAAGAATGGCAGTACTGTCCATCTACAACAGAATTCTACAACAGTACTGCCAGTGTGTGAAAGTGAAGGGATCTGAATGCTTTCTGACACACAATTTGTGTTCAAGGTGGATTGACAAAAATGTATTGTTATGCCAAGATGTTTATTAGCATATTAACAAAGTAAAGAGTCCCATTTACCATATAAGTAAAATTTTGCATTATCACAAAACAGTAAGCACTACTTTTGTAATAGGAGAAAATGAAGGTTATTGTTTGCTTTATATTATCTTAAACAAATATAGTTAAGTTTTTGTTTGGCTCAGTTTTTACAAGGAACTGAAGAGTCATTTTCTTGACCTGCGTTTGAATTTTTGTTTCAGCATGGTGGTCTTCTCTCCACCCATGACAGGGAGGGTCTCTCTGTCCTGGACCTTACAATGAAGGACCGACCAACTCATGTTGCTTTCAGAAGCACTGGTAAGAAAATATTAATGAATTTCTCATTTAAATTGATATTGTACATGATTGCGACCCCTAATAATGAAACTATTATCTCTTTGTTTTAATAAGTCACAAGGCTCATGAGCATCACAATGATGCATTGTTCAGTGATACATTTCACACTTTGAACATGCATAGGATTTAAGTCTCCCTGTGCTTTATTGTATTTATATTGTAATTACCATTGTGGTCTTTATTTTAGTTATATACATGACAAAGGGACTTTTTAAAAGACTTCTGGAACTGTAGTACCCACTGTGATTGAACAGGGCAGCCTTTTTTTACTGGCAGACAATACCAGTGGTTTAAGACAGATGAAGAGCACCATGGCTGTGTCTTTAATGGTGTTTTCTCCCTTCTTAAAGACCCAACTGAAGTCTACACATGGGGGAACAATACAAACTTCAGTCTCGGACATGGTAATCAGGAGAGCCGACAGCACCCTGAACTTGTGGATGTGTTTTCCAGGACTGGAGTTTACATCAAGCAGGTTGGTGAACAACATTGTTTTCCCAGTGCAGCGTGTTATTTTATGAAGAATAATCGGAACAAGCAGGTTGGTGAACAACATTGTTTTCCCAGTGCAGTGTGTTATTTTATGAAGAATAATCGGAATCGAATATCAATTTTCAAACATTTATTATCATAACTAAACAGACCATCGAATAAAGCAATTTACAGAGCTCTGGGTTCCATCTCTATCTGAAGCTAACCTCAACAGCAAAACCGTTCAATTCGTCTTCCAGACGAGAAGGAACACTGTCTTCCTCCATTCAGTTGATTTTATACAATTTCAAATGTGCCCTTGTAGGCTGGTCCGGTCCTCTCGTGCTGTTCTATTGGTCCATCTATCCAT